GTTCCCTGACATTGGCGGAGCGTCCCAGGGGGGCGTGAACCACCCCCGCTCCTCCTGTGCAGGCAGGCCCTGGCTTCCTGTGTCCTGTCTCTCCTGTCTCCCCATGAGCCGCTGGACACCCGGGCACCGTGGCTCTGCCCCACCCCTACATGCTGCCGTGGGGTGGCTCCGCGCGCCCCTCTGTAGAGTCAGCCCGTGGGCGAATGTCACCTCCAGGGAGCTGCACGCGGAGAATAGCTTATGGGGCCTTTGCTCATCCAGGCCCACGTCCGCAGGCATTCTCCTTTCTTGGAATTTGGCGACAGTGGTGACTTGGAAAGGATCCTAAGGAGCAGAGAGGGCTTTTGTAGGTTTACCGCCAACGGCAGAGGGTTCTCTCTGGGTTCTCCGGGGTTTGCTCCGCAAGGGTGGTGGGAGGGCGGGGGTTGCTCCCAGCGCTGACTCCCTGTCCTGGGTCATCATCCTTCTAGAAGGCAGCTCTTCTTCTGCATGCTCCCCTCCTTCATTTTGCTGGGTGTGCACGCAGATGGATTTGCCCCATTCCTCCCCCGGGATGCGATGTTGAGAGCCGTTAGCTGAGATAACAGGGGCTCCCTTTGCGGGAATCGGATTACATGGGCTCTGACGGGCTGGGGACCTGCTGGGGACAGTGGGGCTCTGTTTGTCATCCCCTCAGCGCGGGGGCTCTTGGGTGGTGCTGTTCCCAGTGAGGCCCAGGCAGCATCCACCTGCCGTGTGACCCCCTGAACACAGCCAGCCTGCCCCCCTCGCCCTCCCTCTGCACCGCCGAACCCCCCATCTCCCAGGTCCGCCCCTCCCCAGGGCAGGGCCTCAGGTTCTCAGTAAACACGCTGTCCTCGGGGAGGAGGGCAGAGCCCTCATGAGCGCAGCCGGGCCGTTATGTAACCTCGCTGAGGAATGCCGTGGGTGCAGACGCAGCGGGAACCTGGCTGGGGTCCAGGGCCTTGATGGGCTTGTAAACACTTTCCCGTTCTGCGTGCCTGGTCTTGCTGCCTCCGCAGTGCACACCCTGTGGCCGCTTACATTTTGTCCTCGTGGTTGCGAGGCTCTGTGTCCTCGCTGCCGTGACCCAGCTCAGCGGAGGGGGCGCCTGCTCAGGGAGCGGCTGCAAACACAGCACCATCGTCGGCGCCCTCCTGCTTCGGGCATTCTGGAAGCATCCTTCGCTCCCGCTGTGGACTCTTCTCCTCTGGCGGGTGGTTCTTCCAGACCTCCGTGTGCCCGTCCCCGTGCTGCCTTGTGACTTCCTGGGCACATGCGTTTCTCCCGTCCCGTGTCAACACTCTCCCGCACCCGGGCTGGGTCTCAGTCCATCCTGTGGTCCTAGCTCTGTCGTGGCTATGCTTTCGTTCGTGGCTGGTGCCTGCTGACCTCTCCGTGGGTTTGGGCATGCATTCCGATCTTTTGAAATCGTGGTTAGTGTTGATGCTGGCTGATGCGGGGGTTTGGACTTAGGAGGGCTAGCTCTCAAAGTTTTCCGTCTCTTCGTGTGTGGCTGTAGCTCATTATCTGAGGACGCGCATTCCTCATGGCCGGTCCAGACAGCCACGGGGCCACCGGCAAAGGGGGTTGGAAGGGGGGGGGATTCTCTTATCTGGTGGGCAGCACGGAGCTTCTTTTGCTATTTGTATTAAGCAGGCGGGAGTTCGGATGATTTGGGGGGAGGTGGCCTTGAGGCGGAGCTGCCACGGACAAGGGTTGGTGGCAGGGAGGGGGGGTGACACCTGCGGGCTGACCTCTGACCTGGGCGTAGGTGCTCCCGGGGCTGTCCAAGGTGCTGTTCTCTCGTCACTGGAGAGTTTGAAGTAAAAACACACCCGTGCGGCGTTAAGGATTAGGCAGGGCTGTTAGCGCACCTGCCAAATGGATCAGAACTCGTTTGAGTGGGCGTTCCATCACGCACAAGAGCACCCGAGGCCCGGGTGGGCTGTGCTCCCGAGTGCTGGCCACTCAGTCCACCCCAAGGACCCGGGCAGGTTTTTATGCAATGTCAAGACAGCGAGGCTGAGCGGAGGTATCCGCGTTGTTGCAGCAAGACTGAAGGAAGCGGGGGTGCCCGCGCACCTTTGTGTCATTCTTGCCTCTGACGTGTCCCCTCTCCAGAGGCTTCCGGCCCCTGACAGCATAGGAGATGGTGCGGGCATTCAGGCTTGCCTGTCATGTTGGCATACGTTAGACCTAAAGGGGGCATCGGGGGTGCGCTTGTCAAGCAGTTGCTGACGGTTCTTTCCACCGAGTGTGGAGAGCGTGGTTCCGGCCTCTGGCCGCCGGCGCTAACCAGATCTGCTTGGCTCGGGCAGTGAATGGTTCCTGGCTCTGGAGGGGGTGTCAGGTACCCCCAGGGGGGCTCCTGGATGGTGGGTCGATCCCGCCTCGGGTTTGGAGCTGCCAGGTGGGCGGTGGCTGCCCGGAGCTCATGTGTGGTCGCGCCTGTGGTGTCGTGTGTGTTCGGGAGACACCTGGCGTGCGTTCCTGATGGGCGGCCGGGCTGGAGGGACAGCGGGCGCCGCCCCATCTGTGAGCAGAGCCGCTCTGTGTGCGGCAAACAGAGGTGTGTGGGCAGACTTGGGGTGTCAGCCAGCGTGCTTGTGAGAACTCCATGGGCACCCCATGGGAGAGCATGCGTCCGTGCCGGGCAGCTGCTCTGAATCAGTGGGATCAGCCACTCCTCTGTTCTGAGCCCTTGTCCTGGGAACAACCAGGACTCTGCAGACACCAAACTCACACTCGGCCTGGGGAGGTGACTGTGTCCCAGGGCGATAGGCCACGGGCAGCTTGGGGAGGGCGACCCCCATCCCTGACCCTCCGTTGTCCCAGAGCGTGGTGACTTCTGCCGCCACCGCTTCCGGCCACTTGGAGGGGCTGGGGTTTGTGACTCTGAGCCACGCTCTGTGTGGAGCAGCTGTAATGAGTCACGGTGAGCCGCAGAGGGAGCCCCTCAGGTCCCTGCGGAAGGTGGGGCCCGGCCTGGGGGTGCCAGGTGGGGATGAGCTGTCCCTCAGGAGCCAGCTGCAGGATGAGTCTGTTCACTGGGGGCGGGAGGAAGGCCCCCAGAGAGAGGGCTGTGGTCGGGGGGCTGGCCTGCCCAGCACCTGCAGTGGCTCGGGGTCATCCGGGGTCCTGTGCACAGGCCCTGGCACCCATGCTTGGCGGGGCCACTCCTTCCTGTGGTGCGACTGTGGGGGCTGGCCTGGGCTGCCTCCCTCAGGATGGAGCTCCTGGTACTGTGGCTTCAAGCTTGGGTTCCCCTCGGCATTTACGAAGTTTTGAGAACCAGACCGGCGTGAGCCCAGACCCCCATTCTCCGTGTGTCACCCTCACATGCCGGGGGGGGCTGTCCTCCTGGAGAGATGGGGGTGCTGGGGGCCCCGCCCCACCCTGGGGGTGTCTTTGCGGTCCGCATGGGTCAGTGGGGTCAGCGCAGGTGAGGGCTCGCAGGGTGGGGAGACGCACACAGCGTATTCTGGAAGGAAGCCCAGAGGCCGGCCTTCGGTTGGGCCCCCCTGAGAGGTCAGAGACCCCACGCGGCCACAGGAGGAGACCCTGGGGCTGAAGGTCCGTTTGCTGCTGAAAGCAAACAGCAGTTTTCCCATTTCTCCAGAATTCTTGCTGGCTAGCTACAAATGCTGTGGGCCGGGAGACCAGGCCTGAGTCCGCGGCCCGTGTTCACACTAGCCAGCCCCAGCATGTTTGTCAACACCAAACATTCCCCAGATGGGCTATTTACATTTTCTCCTGTATTTATCAGACCCTTTCCTTGTAGATAGCGCAAAGGTAAACAACCCCAGCCTCTACCCAGAGGGCACATTTCCCAGGGGCTCCTGGGGCTTGAGTTTTCCTTTGTGGGAACGTCTCTCTGGGCAGCCATACAGAGCCGTCCACTGGGGCTTTCTCCTGCACCACTGGTCTGGACCCAACCTGAGCGGCTGCTTCTCTTTGACCTTTCTGATGCACCAGATGTTTGAAGCCCATCTTTGCCCTAGAAAAGTCATTATTGTTAGCGTGGCTGCCTCTGAGAGCCCCCGACCTCCAGCCTCCCCTCCCTGCTGGGCAGGCACAGTGGAGGGACCAGCCGCCCACACTCCGCTTGTCTGAGAACAGAATCCAGCCCGCTTCTGGCCTTGGGCCCCCGGGGACCCTGGAAAGGAGCCTCTGCCCTGCTGTGGCCGGGGGGACGGGGGGGAGTTGGTGAGGATCCTTTCCTGCAAGCCCTCCCCATGGCCCCCACGTCCACTTAGCCCCTTGGGCAGGGAAGGACCCCATGTAAAGGTGGGAAATGACACTCAGGGTCCCTGCCTGCCCACCCTTCCCCGATAGTGCTGCGTGCCCAGAAGGGGTGCTTCCACTCTGCACATCAGCTCATCACCCCGGAGGCCTGAGCCGCACCCGGGGACCCAGTGCACCCCCAGCCCTGGGGCTGCAGTGCTACAGCCTGGGCTCAGATCTCCCCCGTGGTGATTCCGGGGGCGGGTCTCAAATGAGCATCCAGGACACGGGATGACCTGGCTCGGGGATTTAAATCCCGCGGCCTCACCCCCCTGTCCCCCCTCTGTCTCTCCCTCCTCCCCACCACGTCCGCCTCGCTCTTTAAATCCTAGCCTGCCTGCACGTCATCATTTGGCATACCACAGATGGTAAGGACCAGCTACTTCTCTTGTGAAAACAAAAAGGTTTTAAGTTGAAACACAGAGAATTCAGACAAAGGGAAAATCCTCTCCATGGGGAGTTCTTAGAAGCTAGGAAAATGGGGCCACAGGACTCCATCCCACAGACCTCCTCCTCCAAAAGCAAGTTCACATACGTTGGTCTGACGACCGAGGCCGTGCCCTTCCCGAGCGTAGGTCCCGCGGGAGCACCAAAGCAGCGGTGACGTTGGCAGCCTGTCTGCAGGGTTGGGGTCCGTCGGAGGGAGGGAGGCCGGCCGGCCTGTGCCCAGCCCGCCCAACAGCTGGCCCTTGGCCTTCCGCTCTCCGCCCCAGGTCAAGTGCTATCACAAGAAGTACCGCTCAGCCACCCGCGATGTGATTTTCCGCCTGCAGTTTCACACGGGGGCCGTTCAGGGCTACGGACTCGTGTTCGGGAAGGAGGATCTGGACAATGCGAGCCAAGGTGAGGGCCGCCTGGCGGTGGGGTATGCAAGAACGCGGGTCCTTGCTCGTTTCCCCCCCGTTCGCCCCACACCCCGTACGGCGAACCTGCTCACAGCTCGGTACCGGTCTCCCGGAATGCTGAGCCATGGTCCAGAGAACATTCTGGAGAAGTGGTGGAACTTGGCCACTGCAGGGGCACGGGCGCTGTCCCGCGGGCTTGGAAGCCCGACGTTTATCCGTGCTTTTTTGCCTCTGCTTCTCTGAACTTGCCGATGTGTGATTTCTTTCTCAGATGACCGTTTTCCTGATAATGGCAAGATTGAGTTGCTTTTCTCCGCCACTCCCGAGAAGATTCAAGGTAGGCGGCCTGCCGGATGCCGGGGCCTGGTGCTCACCTGGTGGGGTGGTGGGTCCCGTGGGGCCCCTGTCCAGTCCCCCGCCTTTGTGCATGTCGGGAAATTGTCATAACAGTTATTTCAATAACAGACTATCTTCAGGGGGTGGGGGTGGCTTGGAGACAGCAGGGCCTGGTTGCATCAGTAAGACCCCAGAGATGGCTAGACTTTTGCCCGGGGAAGGGCCCAGCCCCTCCATCCCTGGATGTCTGTCCGGGAGATCATGCTGAATGTTTACTTCTCCCCCGACAAAGAATCGAATGTTTTTGAAGAGGATTAGAAGCACAGTGGACTGCAAATATGTATGTGCAAAACAGATTTTCCTTTCTTCTAAAAATACACCGAAAGAGAAATCTGTCCTTTTACCGTCAAGGCGAATGGTTCTTTTTTACTGCGAGGTCCACATGTGTGAACGTTTTCCTTCAGGCTTTTGTTGCTGGGGAAAGTAGTCCGCTTCCTTCTGAGGTCAGAGCCCTGATTCAGTTAATGGTTAAGGGCAAGGCTCCTGAGGTCAGAGCCCCACTAGCTTTCCCAGAGTGTCGGCTGTGGCCGCGCCAGGCCTGGGGGGAGCACACATGTGGGTCTGGGCGCTGGTGCACGGCGGCATGCTTGGGCTGTGACGGACACCTCCTCCCACGCAGGGTGTGAACACTTGCGCAATGACCACGGCGTGATCGTGGACTTCAACACCGCAGACCCCCTCATCCGCTGGGACTCGTACGAGAGCCTGAGTGCTGGTGGAGAAGGTATGTTTGGCGGCTGCCGCCCGGGACAGGGGAAAGGCAGAGAAGGCGGCCTGCTCGCAGTCTGCTTGGATGCCAGAAACCCTGCCCTCTTTCGGGGCCCGGAGCCCCCCTCCCAGTGCTGTGAGTTTGGTGGAGCCTGTGAGAAGCAAGCTTGGAATTTGGGTGGTACAGCTCATGCTTGTCTGCATGTTGCCAAGGACCGTTTTCCGCCTTCTTCCCCAGCTTCCCGATCGTGTGTGGAGCACTGAGCGTCTGTTCTCAGGCGGCCTCCCGGCTGTCCTGGGTCCCTGGGCAGCGGGTGCTTTGGTTTTGTTGAGGTTGCTGTGATCCTGGCATGCTGGTTTTATGGGCTCCTGGGACCGCCTCACCTAACACGTTCGCCCGTGGGACGAACAACTAGGGCCCCGGGTACCATCACGGTGGGGGAGAGGCTCTGCCGGGCTTCCCCACAGAAGCCACCTCACACGGGTCCGAGGAAGGATTGGGGCCTCCTCCCTGGCCGCCAGGAATGCTGTCAACCGTCCCATGGTGGGGCCTGATTTGGGAGAGAAAACTAAAAGCTCCTTGTCAAATTGGTTTCATGCAGATGTACAAAAGCCAGAAGCAGGTGTCGGGGAGAGAACAGCACCCAAGCCCACTTCATGGGTCATGGGACCTGCAGGGTCTCCGGGGAGGGGCGTCTGGTGTGCATGTGGACCAGCAGTTCCTGTCTTCGTTGGGGGCAGTCACGCTTCTCCTCCCAGGCCCGGGGTCCTGGTGGGCGGCGGGGGGCCGGCTGCTCTCTCCGTAGCATGTGGGGCGCTCCCTGTCCTGAGCAGAGAGCCGTGGGGGACACACAGTGTGGGGGACGTGCTGCTGGAAACCTCACGTACCCCGTCCTGTTTCATCCTTACGAGAACCCGTAACCATGGCAGACACGTAGGGAGCAGTTCCCGAGAGACCGGCCAGGGGCCCTGTTGGCGGTTACAGGTGCAGCTGGCTCAGGGACATGGGTCTGAGATCACGCAGGGGGGAAACAGGACTCACGTCCCAGGCTGCTGACCCCAAAGCCCCTCGGTGCAAGCCTCATTCCTGCAGCGAACACCCCTGCCCTCGCTGGTGCCCAGGCTGCATGAGGTGTGCAGAGAACAGAGTCCCGCTTGGGCAATATGAGCAGAGAGAGGTTTGTTAGGGGCACGGGGTGCCAGGCAGGCGTCAGCGTCTCCTGCACTGGGCTGGCCTGACTAGGGTGCTGCTCCCTGGAATGGGCGGGGCAGCCCCATGCATGCCGGCGGGGGGGGGGACTGGGGACAGGGACCGGTCAGCTCCTCTCCCCACTGTGCTTCTCCACCCCCTGTCGGTCTTGTTCCTTATTAACCCGTGCCTTGCTGGGCTGGCTGTGCGAGCACGCCTCCCAGCCTGTCCTAAGGTGCGGGAGCTCAGGGATCGGCTTCTCTGCCTAAGCAGGTGGGTGGTGGCGGCAGGCGTCCTGCAGCGTCCTGTTGGGAGGCCTGGCCCGGGAGCAGTGGGGGGCATTGCCTGCCTTGTGGGACCGCCATACTCCTATTCTCCGTGACACTGAATTAGCGAACACCGGCCTTTGCTCTCGGTGGGGGGGATATGGGGTCGGGGTCTTGTGAGCCTCGAGTCACAGCATTTTCGTAAGCCCGTCAGTGGATAACTTCATCACACCTGCGGTTCTGTCTCAAGACACCGGATTTAATCTTTCTTGTTGATGCTGCGAGCCCACGGCCAACAGCACTGAACTCACGCTCGAGCACAGTGTCTCTGACGCACGTATTTTCCCCGTAAGGCATGCCACGGCCTTCTCCTGCTTAGACACCGGACAGCCCTTCAGGACTGCCCTTGGGGGTCATTTTAAACAGCAGAAATACCAACAAAAAGCATAGAAATGCAAAACCTGTGACATGCAGTAGGACTGGAGGATGCCTGTTTATGGTGTGGGAGCTGGGAACGTGCTCGTGGGATGGCTCTGAATCGGGGCCCCTCTGCACACCTCACTGAGTGACCATGAAAATGCCACGAGCTGATTTGGGGGTAGAGATTACAGTTCTGGGTGAGTAGGTGAATTAGCAGACGTGGGTTCAGAATGACGGTGATCAACTCTACTTGGTGTTTTTGTGTTTCTGAAATCCTTCTCCTTTCTTCCGAGGCTCCTGTGGGGCTGTGCCCTTTGGGCCCAGTGACCGGGACCTTCCCAGCCAGGGGGAGCGTGGGTCACCCATGTGCACCTCCTGCCTCTCCACGTGAGCTGTGTGGCCTTGAACAAGTCCCTTGACCTCTCTGTGCCCTTTCCTGTTCTGCACGGGGAGTAGTCACCGAGCCAGAGCTGCTGAATGAGTGACCCCTGAGTAGTCCTGCAGGTCACAGGGCCCCGTAACGGTGTTGTCACCTCCGGAGCCCAGAGCTTGGGGAGGAGCTGGCCTGAAGGTCTCTGGAGCCCTGAGGTGGCTGTGGGAGGGCACGAGGGTCCCATTTTCCCTGCGCTGTTGGACAGTCACTATGGCAGGATGAAACCGGGGCGTACCAGGGAGGGCCTGGGGTGGCCGGCTGTGGTGCGCTAGACCCTGGTGGCTTTTCTGTCACTGTCACACTGATGTCGCTCAGCAATACGTGGGTGCACCATCCCCAAATGTCACCGAGTGTCACATGTAGAGGACTGCTCTGGGAGGACTCCCTGAGTTTGGAGCGCCCCCCCGCCCCCGGGGCCAGTGACGGTGGATCTCAGTGCCGACAGCCACAAGGGCCTCTGTGTGGGTGGGGGAGGGGGGAACTGCGGTCCTGCTGCCCTGTCCACAGGGTGGGGGGGGTCTCTGCTCGTTCCTGAGCCTCCCTTTCCCCGACCTGTAAAATGGCCCATCTCAATGAGATCACCCCAGAGATCCCCTCCCCCTCTGCACGTTCGTTCTGTCATCGCGCACATGATCCGCCTGCCCTAGAGGTCTGGTGTCCCTGTGCGGGCCAGGCTTGTGCTCTGGGAGGAGCTCGGGGAGAGAAGGACGAGCAGGCCTTCTGGTGGGGGAGATGTGTGTGTATGCGTGCGTGTGTGTATGTATGTGTGTCTGTGTATGTGTGTGCACGTGTGTCTGCAAACAGATATACTCTATGCGTGTGTACACGAGTGTATGTGTGTGTGTGTGCGTGTCTGCAAACAGATACACTCTATGCGTGTGTACACGAGCGTCTGTGTGTATGTGTGTGTGTGTGCGTAGGTCTGCAGAAATACTGTGTGTACATGAGCATCTGTGTGTATATGTGTGTGTGCGTGTGTCTGCAGATATACTCTGTGTGTGTGTGTGGGTCTGCAAACAGATACACTCTGTGTGTGTACATGAGCATCTGTGTGTATATGTGTGTGTGCGTGTGTCTGCAAACAGATACACTCTACGCGTGTGCACATGAGCGTCTGTGTGTATATGTGTGTGTGTGCGTGTGTCTGCATACAATATACTATATGTGCATGTGTACGTGAGCGTCTGCGAGCTGTGGGTGGGTATGGCTCTGTGCACCCACCTGCCTCCCCGAGCAGTCTCCATAGGAGACCCCAGGTGCCGGAACTGGAATGCGGGCCGGGAAGTGGGAAGGTATGCGAGAAGCTGCTACTCAGCCTGTCCTTGGTGAGAGTCACAGGGAGGAGGCTCTTGCAGGCAGGGGTGTGGGAAGGCGTTGAGGGGGGCGCAGGCCCTGGGACCGTGCCGGAGCAGTACACACCGGCGAAGGAGAGGGGACGCCTGTCCCATCAGGAGGGGTTGTCGTGCCGAGACTGCTTTCCTCCAGATGACCGGCGACCTGGCTGGAGGGCCCGGGAAGACGACGCGGGGGTGCCCTGAGAGCCGCCGGGGTCTGCAAAGGGCGGGGGGCGCCAGCAAGAACAGATGGGGCCTGACTCAGGGTGATTCCGGGTGGTCAGTGGGTAGCCTCCTACCCAAGAGATAGATGAGTAAGACTGCACCAGATTTGACCTTGGGGTGAGGGGCAGGGAAGCTTCTGGCGCAGCCCACGGGTAACACGAAGCCTTGCCATGCACCTTGACCTCCAAGTTCCTGGCCTTGACCCACCAGTGAGTTTCAGGCCACAGACAGAACGTTGCTGGTCTGCGGGCTCACAGATGGGGCCTCTGCACCCCGGGCTTGGGTTCTGCTGCTGTTTGCCAAGGGCTCATCCGCAATGCCCCCCGGCTCGGACATGGCCCCCAGGCAACCACAAGTGGCCCCGACAAGACGGCGGGAGAAGATTTGGATGCCCGGCACCTTCCCAGTGCCATGCGGTCCTGTTGCCCTCGCATGCAGCCTGGGAGGGCTGCTGGTCGGGAGGCGTGTGGCCACGGGGTGTGCAGAGCTGGCAAGGGATCATCGTGGTCCACATTCCCCATCCAGTGGCTCAGAAACTGTGGTTCAGTTCTCATGTTTGGAAACCCAAGCAAGCTTTGGATCTTCAACCCCTTAGCAGAAGGAGGGTCTGCTGGAATCCGGCGGATGAGTCGGCAGGCCTGGCTCTGCTCCGTGCCAGGCGGGCGGAGCTCCTCATTGGCAGGATGGGCACGCTGCCCACGGAGCACCCTGGGCTGGGGCGCCTTGTCACTGTGCACCCAGCCAGGAACATCCCTTCACTGCACTGCCCCAGCCGAGCTTCTGGGCGCACCGCTCGCTTCCACAGCCCAGGAGCGTGCGGGGATAATGCTGACAGCGTCTGACCCCGGGAGTCCTGCTCAGACCTGGGAAAGCACCTGCCCTTCATGCTCCTGACTTACAGACTCCAGCCCCCGGCCCACCTTTCCGGGGTGATCCCGGGACCCCAAGAGTTTATACCCCCGGAGAGCAGGCACCAGCTGGGAAGGAGGGCAACGTGCTTATCTTATCTGAAACACAAGAGTCTTACTCTCTGGGCTAAGAACCATAAAAATGTCCTATGGGTGTTAACTTAAAACCGGATTGGATCCCGTCACGAGAGTACGTGTGATGTCGGAGGCAGTTTAATGAGTGACAGCTGAGCCTGAGCTG